GCGTAAATCCCAATGATAGACTTTATCTTGGATGTTCAAGTCACCCTGCCCCGTCTCGGTCCGGAACCATCTATTCCGTGTATTCTTCTTGCGTACATATCTATGGCTTCTCGAGTACTTCTAACCTCGGGTCTTCCATCATCACAATCGACTCATTTGAGACTATCATCGGATCTCTCAATGCGATAGAGAATTCATCCAAACTTGGCCTGCATTCTGAAATGTTCAATCCTGTACTCCCTCGAGTATCGAGTGTTTACTCCGATTAATCACCCGAGACATTCGGATTCCAGCTCATGCTCGCGGTCTGCGTCATATCGGTCGAATCCGTTCAAAACTCCTTCTCTGGCTACTGGAATCAACTTGCGGAGCCTAGCGAATGGTCAGATGCTTTCCCGACCGGAGTTTCGAGTTTCCATGCTCCTCTCCGGTCTGGCTGGAGACAGCGTATGAATCTCCCCGGCTGGGAGGCTTTGAAAGCTTTTGGGAATCGGCAACATCGTATCATTTTCGGCGATCACTTGACGCTATTCGAACGGCTGCATCGATCTCGCCTGAGAGCTCGTAGGCAACGCGAGAAATATTACGACGGTTCTGTAGTTTTCGACGAGGCCAGCACTTTCGGACATCTCGATTGGAAGACAAACGGTTGGATACAACCTGAAGCTGACTTTGTGGACGAAGCTTTCGATGATGGTGTCGTGCTTTCGTCGGATCAGCGGACCAATGCTATCGACCCGCGGAGCAGTTATCATCACAGAACAGATTGAGTATGTCCAGGACTGGTTGAGTCCGATCTGAAGCCCGCTCTGATAAACATACAATCCCAGAGTGTCCTTCACTCCTTCGCTTACGTTCATTTTCCTACGATTTTCGATTTCCCATCGTTCCATGTTGGTCTCCACAATGGAATCATTCTTTCAGATAATCGCAACCCAGTGATCACCTCCTGAGAGATGCTCCGCGTTAGCCGAGCCAAGACACGGAAGTTCGTAGTGGGTAGCGCAGGGAGTTGCAGAGGAATCTGTATTGAAGCGCAAAGGACGGCATCTCTCCGAATATTGTTTCATGTTCATTGAATTGTAAGGTAACCGATATTCGAATAAAAGACTCTCAAGATCAGTCCGACGAAGTCACCATAGTTTCAAGATTATTATTATTATTAACTCTGGAGCTCTATCGGCGATAATTTCCTGCCGTCCTCTACACCGAGGAGTTAATCATGGACTTCGCCATTCACCGACCCAGGCCTGATTTCGAGAAGCCTGATGAAAACATGCGGTACTGATTCTGGGGAGAGCAGGCAGTGTGTGTACTATGTGTAACAAAGGCCAAGCCATAGCCGAACGAGAGAGCGCATCACGACAGGCAGATTTTGTGTACCCTCCAGTCAACCCGAGCGGAATTCGACCAGTTCAAAGTGAGCACTCGGCTACTTCTCTCAGAGATCGCGCAGGGATCGAAGGGGTACCATCAACTAGGTAACCACGGGCTTATGCTAGAACCGATTCCATGAGACTGATGCCACCGCGTTGCAATGAGAGCCGGAAAGAGACAGAGACATAAAATAAGCCGAGGTGAGCCGGCTTTGTCACCGTCGCAGGGGGCGGATCGACCCGGAGAAGGGAAAGATTCAACATAGAGGCGAAACATGATTTCTTTATTTACACCGACTTCGATCATGTATCGTTGAGTTTTTCCCTCACCACCCTCCTCTCTGCTGAGCCCAGCCCATAGTCCGTTGTTGAGGCTTGGGGGACCACCCGTTATTCTGAGGAGCATGCTGGATTCGCGCGGTTTTGACCTCCTTGACAACCAGGATCTTGGCTTGTCCTCCCGAAGATCCGCCGCTCTTGGAGAGGATCCTACCTCCCTGATCGATTGTGCGAACTCTGTGGATAGTCTTGATCACGTGGGTGGGTCCAGCTACGGTAAGGGAACCTCCGGTTCTACCGTGTCCACCCTGCTGTTTGATGATGATGATTTTCTGTTGCTGCTGCTGCTCGGGCTGCCATCCCGCCGAGGCTTGTTGCTGCCATCCCGAAGGGGCTTGTTGCTCCCATCCTGAGGAGGATTGTTGCTGCCAGCCACCGGAGCTCGATCCCTCGAAGATTCCGGCCTGGGCGACGGCCACGAAAACAGCGAGAACGACCTAGGGAGAACACCGTGTCAATCTCCAAGCGAGTTTAAAAGAATTAAGTACATCTCTGTGTTTCTTTCTTCTGGGGCCGGTACTTACGAAGCTTCTCATGTCGATTGAAAACAGATCACTGATTCGGACAAGGAACCTTCGGCATCTTTTATCCAGCCAGCAGTCGACCGAACTGCAGGTGATCGTGAGGTTAAGGGCAAGCGTCCATTCCCCGCGGAAAGCGCATCAGTCGTTCTTCCGAAAATCCGCGACAGAAAATATTTGCTCTGCATTACATAAGAGTCGTTCGCGATCTTCTGCCAGGAACGAGTTCGAATCCCGCATATCTTATTGAGTAGACGGATCAGGGTCGTGTTCAAGCTCATCCTGAATCGTGGAATCAAGCTTGCGAATTCGACGACGCGGCGCAGCCTCCTCTGATCGCAGACCTGCAAGAATCGCCCGCTGGGCTTCGGCGAGATTCCAAGGCTTAGGCTCGGAACTTTCCCCAATTTAGGAGCGCACGTTCGGACTGGTGGAGCGGCGTTCCCGACCAGGTACAGCTTCCCTCCGATTCCATTCAGAAGCGTCTCGCGCTAGCAGGAAAACTCCTTCGGCACAAAGATGACGCTTAGGAAATTATCTCCCGTGGGATCCTTAGGATGCTCGCGGGGAAGTCGAATGCATTTTCGAAATTCTCCCGCGCGCTTCTCTTCAGGTAGCGATTCCCTCATTCAACAGTGACGAGGCATAGGACGAATAGAGCAGAAGTGTCCATCCGATTCCGCGTGTATGAGATGCTGCGGTGCAGCCTCGGAAAGGCGTCGAACATCTCTTATGTGTATGCCGCGCCAAGAACGCTGATCAAGCACCGACACTTCTCCGAATGGAGAAAAGGTCAGACCGAGGAAGCTCGGAGCGGAGCATGAATCGGTGCGCGGCAATACGGTTTGTTTTTGAATGAAGTTGGCAGATGAAAAATTATTCATGGAGATACAGGTGACCTCTTGCTCTTGGATAGAGAGATGAATGCGATCATCCATCACTAGCCGACCATCGAAGATCGTTCCATATCAGAATTGAGCCCTTCTGAAGGTAACAGAAAGTGGTATTCACCCAAATTCAATGCTCCGGCTGTGAACACGATCTGACCGGTGGTCGAAGATCCAGAACGCCATTGACGATTCCTAATCCGTACCTCTTGAATAATCTAAAGCCGAGCTCAGTTTCCAATCGATCCTACTGGCAATCGCAGACCATGCTACTCATTCATTGGATCGGACTTGGGATTCAGGTCTTTTTTCTCCCACTCGTTTCTCAGATGGTCGCCCAGATGAAGGGCCGCAACGTTGGTGTCCGCACGCCACTGTCCTCTGAACTTGCACGACAATCTTAACACCTGAATGGACGAGACTGAGAGGTCATCCGTCGTACCGAAGCCAGAGAATCAAGCATAAATCTCACAGCCTTTTTTGTATTGCCTGATAGCTATCAGCCGTCGGAGACCCGACCGCCGATGCTCTGCTCTTGTGCTGTTTATTGTGCACGCCCACTAATGGAAGAATGATGGACCTTGCCGTAGCTCCATCGAGTCTCGAATGGCTTGTCCCAAGACTGTTCAGACCCGAGCCGCTGCTTGACAACGGGTTGTCTCACCAACGGTTGGTTGTTCGACACCCCCTTGAGGCCCTTCCACCTGATATTGTGACAATCAGACAGCGAGTTGTCGGACAGCGAGAATTCCGAACACTCATTTGGGTTCTGCGATTCATCTAGAATATTATAGCATTCCTAATCCCAGAATGGCTTTCGCAGCGTGACTGCGAGAGTCCACTATTAGATGGGGATTCCCACCAAGAGCACCGAACGAGGGCTGTGGGGAATTTTAAACTGGACTAAACGTCTGAAAATGCTGATGGGAGTGCGAGAGATGTGGATTCTTTCGAAACCCTGCTTCAGGGGATAAATCGCATTCGACAGGGTCAAGAGCTCTCAGTGGCCTCAAACGGAGCTACTCCGTACTGTAAAAGGAGCGGGGCACTCCTTTTGCTGTATAAGGAAAGATACTCCTTCAGAAATTCATGAAGCTATCAAGGAAGAGAATGAACGCTCAGAGAAAACCGAAATGTTCGCGGCTCACCTCAGTGGGCTCACCTCGACGTCCCGCTCTCGATGACGGATTCACTGGCTCGACTGATGCGTCGATTAGTCCTCTGCGGAGAGGGATGTATTTGCTGATGCAGTCAAGTTGCTCTATTGAGAGCGTTTCATTCATTTTTGGATTTCGACATCCCAGCAGTTCTCCCCTGTTGGATTTCGAAGGTTCGGCTGGATTCGATGAGAATCACCTCCTCAAGCTTATAGATTCGCATGTTCAAGCTTTCATTCAAAGACGTTCAGAAAATCACTCCTGTTCACAATTTTTTTTCTCAAATATGATGCGAGTCGAGTTTATGAGAATTTTGGAGAACCGAGAGTTCCGCTGGGCGCCTCGGGAAACTAATGGCCCCGAGCTCATGGGAGAACCTCAGCTTCGGAGAGGCGCTACCTGGGTCGGATATGCTGGAACTATCGATTAAGCCATAAGAGCAAAATAATGAGCTTCGAGGAGGACCATACTCGTCAGTCTCCAGTTTGGAACCCCTGAAACGATTCACAGTCGCTTTGAGCGGAGCATCATCACTATGTTCTGTGTTCGCTGGCTCAAAGTTGAATACTTGCGTCACCAACACCCAAACGGAGCTACTGAGCCCAAAGATGATGGTCATGATACTCACATAGTCCTCATGAGATTAACAGATTATGCCGCGGTAAGCGAGGTTCCCGCTCCTTGCGAACGCGTTCATATACCGAGGCCACCATTGTGCCATTACTGCACAGCGCTCATCAATCCACGATGCTCTCCTCCTTGGTCGCAATCGTGCTCGTACTCCTGTCGTATTCGATATGGTTCGTCAATTTTCCGTGAATCTCAATTATACTGTATGAATCCACAGTGCAATATCCGTGTGAGGAGTGCCTTGAAGAGTTCCCCATCTGCAGCCATTGAACGAGGCTCCCCGAACAAGGTAAAACACAAATTCTTCTGATGCAGGCGCCGTCTGAAGTTATTTCGAGTTCTATGGAAAGCCGGGCATGTCGGACCCCGAGGAAACATCATTTCCGGTAGCTACTTCGAGATGAAGCGTCATGGATGCCTGATTCTATTCGAAAAATGGTTCAAAGAGTATAAGTCCGATACGATTGGCTTCTACTACGGCACTCAACCATTTGTTATATCGAAAAACCTTGACTTGGCGAAGCAGATCCTGATCAAAGATTTCCAGAACTTCAAAAACAGAGCGGTGCGTAGTTTTTCGCGACCGACTTCGGCTGAAAATGGTCCAAGAGATCTCCTTCCTGCTAGCTCGAGGCCCTCCATGATATATGACCGCTTGCAGAACAACTCCCCACTCGAAGCGGCGCATCCTATGATCGGAGCTCATCTGCTCTTCACAAATGACGATCGATGGGAGCGAATTCGGAATTTCATGACGCCAAGCTTCAGCACCGTCAACTTGAGGGAGGTGGGTAGTCTGCAACGGATGTCACAACAAAAGAGCGAGATACGGATTTTCCGATGAAATTCATTACTATTTGTAAGAACGAATCGGAGGGGGATCTGCGTCTACTCCCGCTTCCGACAAACGTCAATCGTTCCGGAAGGGAACACAGAAAAAACAACTTCCATAAATGAAGGGTGCTCGGGTAACGAGCAATGGAAGTCGTTCGAGGAATTAATCATCGATCTTATTCCCAGATCACAGATTCCGTCTCCTTCACAGATGTTTACACGCTTGACCAAGTGCATGGATGTTTTCATGGAAAACCTGGAAGTTGCTCCCTTGAACTCAATCGACGTCTACCCTCTGATACGTCGTCTCACTTTGGACAACATAGCGCGAGCAGCTTTCAGTGTCGCGACCAATGTGCAGGAGAACCCTTTCGGATCGCCCCCGAAATTCCAAATCGCCGCCGAGAGATCGATAGACCTCTGGGGCTCACATTGGCTGAGTCCAGTAGCGCGTGCGTATGAGTTCCCCGCCACAGGACTGGATTTCTGAGTTTGCCGAAATAGTGTGAAACGCGTGGATGCTCACGATGGCTATTATCTTTCCGTTGTACGACCGATCTTCTAAGATGCCGAAATCTCGGAACCCCCAGTATGCCTGAGACCGGTGGGACAATTTCTCTTTCGGAAACTGCGAGCCATGGGGCTAGTCGAGCACCCCCAGGATGCGATGTCAAACTACATGGAACAATTGACTGATTTGAGAAATTCTTCAAGAAAGGTAGCGCCCAAGGACAACCCAAAAGATTGCCCCGAAGTGATATGAGCCAATCTCGGAATAATCCTCCATCGGACTGCGAGGCAGATCTCACATTGACACATGGCCATGCGGTATACGGCTCAAATTGCTTGCAGATTCCGGGAGGACCGCAGTCAGAGACCGAATGGGTCGATTTCATGCAGAATTTGATCAATGGAGCCAGACGCGAAACGATGGACTCCCGGAAGTTCCATAGACATCTCGGTTTCAAACTCTCAAGGAATGAAGTGGTCGGAAACTGCCTCCTTTTCTTTCTAGCAGCGTGAGTTCTCCGACGCGATCATCGCAGGGTGTTGGCGGCCTGCGGAATCATCCGGTCGGGGAGAAGTGGCACAGGGCAACACCATCCGTCTCGTCAGCATCGGGATAACTTGGAAACAGGCAGAACTCGAAAATAAAACGACTCAGATGCGTTTGTGACATTTCAGCTTCGAAACTACGAGTTCTGCCCTGAGCTTCCTCATATACAGCTTGGCTAGAGAGCCAGAGATTCGAGCGCGCCTTCGTCATAATCTTCAGAAAAGTCTGGAAGAAACTGGATATGAGCTCAGCTATGATTTTGTGATGAACCATCGCTACCTCGACATGGTTATCAACGAGGGGCTGCGACTCTATCCGACCGCCAACGGGTAAATCCGATCGAAAACTAGCGTTCCCAAAGGATTGAAATCTCCCAAGGCTAGATCAACATGCTGCGCACATTGAGCTTCCATGCGAGACAACCCGATATCATCATCGGATAGAATCATTCGAGCTTCTAAAGACCTGATAACTTAAAATGAATGCTCAAATGACATCAGGCTTAACAGCTCGCTTTGCGCAGATTCTTGGGTCGCGCAACCATCAGGGATTACGAGTACAAGGGCATCAAGATACCGGCTGGAGTTGATGTTCTTTTCCCAGCCTTCCACATCCACCGAGACCCGAAGAACTTTCCTGAACCGGAGAAATTCGACCCAGAGCGTTTCAGCCCTGATCGAAAGGTGAGGCTCAAGGCTCCCAGAGAGGGGAATGATCATCAGATAGAGAATCTAAGTTTTCCTCGTCAGACGAGACTCCGTGGAGCGATGGACTGCCGCTGAACTCTCGGCCCAGCCTGGCCCACTCATATCTAGGAAACCCAATCATTCCAGAATCAGACCCCTTCGCTTGCCTATCTGCCTTTTGGGGCAGGCAAACGGTCGTGCATCGGGAATCGATTCGCGCTGATGCAAATGAAGCAGCTTATCGCCAGAATAGTGCTAAAATACGACTTTCATCTCGTCGCTGAGAAACATCGCGGGCCGCTCAAATTGACGGACAGAGCATTTGTATTAATCGTGCCTGGGGAGGGAATTCATGTCAAGCTCGTTCCGATATAAAACAAAACTCACTACATCGCCAGAAGAATATCTCTCAAGTACTTAGACCGCTGTAGCAGAAACTCAATGATACGAAGCGTACCGAACGATGAATGCATCCATGGCTACCGGCATAGTCTGACTTCAGATCGGAAAAAATCCCATGTTCTCCCTCAGAAGCTGGTGGAACACAATTCTTTACCTTGTTCCGTGAGGCCAATTATTATTGCTTGGAAATAGCTACTGATGAAGAATTCGTGTGAAAGGAAACTCGGGAATCCATGTCCATCGATTCTGTTAGCCAGATATGGTAACGCCAGTGCCCCGAAGGCGACGCTGAGCGTTACCTCGCGTGAGCTGTGCGCAAGCTAAGGGACCGATCAGATGAAAAGTCCGCATATTTCATGGTTCGTCCGGGCTGTCCCAAGGAATCCGCTAGAAGCTTGATTAGCATCCAGAATAGCGAAGTTTTATTCAACCCTAATCCGTGTCGTAGCTTTCCGACCGTGCTTCGTATGGGAGGCGGAGGAACGGACTTTCGAAAGTTCAGTTGGAGATTTTCCTTTTCTTCTAATCGATGGAGCGGCGGCATCGGCATGCCCAGAGGATTCGGGTTCGCAACAGAAGTCCCACAATGTACGGAAAATTGCGGAAGTTTTCCCTCCGAGAACTTCATCCGTGAAGCACTTCTGCGCATTTCTCTATCAACGCTGCCTAAGCGTTCTCATTCGACTTAATGTCCGCAACTATCCAGTCGCACCGCCGCTGTGGAGTCAATAAGTCAAGCTGGACGCTATGTTGCTCTCTCAGTCAGACTGTCAAGCGATCCGGTGTCAGAAGAGTCCGATGACATCGATGACTATTGAATTCCCGCCTGATCGTCTCGGGCGTATAGGATTTTCCGGAATATTACGATTATCGAGGACCTTCTGACGCTTTTTTCGTTTAGAGCATTCAAGGTGACTTTTGATCTGAGTGTGATTGAAAAAAAGCATCTATGAGTTCCCTTGCAGGAACTTCAGGGTTGAGAACGCAAACTATTGCTCGTGAATAATGGCGCCAAAGGCAGGAAATAATTCTGTTTCTGCTCTGTTGACGACCACCAAGTGAAATATAATAATAGAGGGCAGTAGCCATAGGAGATATCTGAAAGCACTTTTTCTCGGTATAGACTCACGTCTCCCCGAGCGGGGCACTTAAGGGCTGCTCCGAGGAGACCATCGGAACCGAGTCCTATCGTACAGCCGATGTTGACGATACTTTCGGTCTCACGATTAGCAAGGGATGGGTACTACCAGAGACGGGCTGGATGAGGCAGAAATGCAAAAGGATTCGTCGGTCGCATACGAGCTTTCGGTTCGTTCGTATCGCGTCCCGAGCTTCCCTCCGGAAACCCGGCGACTTTACATCGTTTTCCCTATAGCTGTGATCCCCTCGATGCCAGACAACCTGTTCGAGACGAATTGAGGTTCCCTATCCCCTGCACTATAAGATAGCCGTATATGTGTCACCTCAAAACCCGTGAGAGCTACCTCAAGGAGCGAGCCTATCGTCATGGCATCCGCTCACGACTTGCAACTGTCCTGGAGAGAGTTCAACCAAGCTGCACCGCTCAATCTTCCGTGGACAGATCCATCATTGTCTCAATCGCCACTATCTTCTCTAGTCACGCTGCCGCGACGAGCTGCGCTGCTTTGAACTCGCTCAGAGACCGTTTGAGACGACAGAATGAGCAAGCTTGCAAGCATCGAGGAGCACCGGGGTCGAGGGAACATGCGCGGGCGACAATGAAGCATCCATAAGTCATGCGCGACGCCCGATCATGGGAATCGAGGATGAGCGGCGAACTTTCTGTGATCCACAGTATTGTATTTTCAGAGAGAAAACATCAAACAGCAACAATCGCTCAATTGCTTCTCAACTGGCTTGGAGCTCCGTTCCGTCTGCGACGGCGTCACAGTCCTCTTCGCCTAGTCTTAGCGATCTAGTCTCCCCGAAGATGTGCTCAGGCACCCTCGAAGAACCGTCAGGTACGTCACGTGACGGTCGAGGACACCCTTTCCCCCCGCTAAGACGGTCTCGAGGGATGTGAAGAACATGGAACCCGCGCGCGTCCCTGAATTTTCGGGAACTGGGTTCGAGACGCAGCAATGATTGGGCAAGGATACGAGGATACTAACTTTCATTTTTATTTTACTCAGAAACGACTCGCGTCCGATTCCCGGAATCAGAACAGTCTTCGTTGAGCTCAGTAACTGAAAGAAACTCCTCATGGGTGACTAAGTTCGGTCGTATCAACCACGAAACTACGTACCTGAAATCTGACGACTATCAATACTTATCTATGCTTGACTTCTCCTTATTCTCAAGTTTATTCTCTCCCTAGTGCACGCGAGCAGAGCACCGCCCCGAGTGTTCCGCCCCTGGGGCAATCATGCAGCGGACGCACCTACCGCTTCGTTTAACTTAGTGTTGTTTCCGGAGCTCACAGGTTTGTATTTACATTCATCATTCACAATCAGAGAAGCCCAAGCCGCTTCCGTAGAGCATTCTGTTCATGAGTAAACGCTGCCTAAGAAATCCTAACAATTATCTCGTGGAGCGACCATAGTGTCGAACTGGTATCCAACGGGCCTTCTCATCACTCTGACGCCTTACCTCAACAAAGACCCGCTTTGATTAGGAGGAAAACGCTGACCAAAATATACAAAACCGAATTGCTCTGAATGGGAAGAGCTCCGTTCTTGTAGCGGTTTTCGACACGTTTCCGATAATTCGTTTTGGAAGTGCCCTTGGATTTTTTCGTTGGTTTCGGGGGAGCCTTTTTGATAGGTCCGAAGCCGACGGATGGCTTCTTCGTTGTCGAAGTGGTCGATGTCAGCGATTCTTTCCTGGGAACAGAGATGGAGAAAATATTCGTACACGATCCGTGAATGCTCGCCCGCTTACTCCATAATAATTCTTTAGCACTGCTCAAATTCGTGGTTGTGTCGCTGGCTGCAGGGTCAGCTCCAAGGCAGAAAGCAATGCGAAGTCCGACAGTCAACAAAGAAACATTTTTTACGGAGCAAGCGTCGGACCGCGTTTGAGCGATGGTGCAATTGATTGCTCGAATAGCCCCACGTTTTGTTAAAGGCCAGTAATTCATGTTTCAGAATCATTCGAAGTCTCCCCCGTGCCATCGGCCAGACTCGGCGACACCGAGCTTTCTATCACTAAACGTGCGGCTACTCACTTTCTGATAAGGTAGGGGCGCCATAATTCGCACTTGTCTTTCTTAGGGCCGTCGGATGAGCGAGTGAAATTATTCGGAGCCAAGTTCACGTATTCCTGGCTCTTCTCTGTGTAGACCGGCCAATCCGCGGTGGATTCAGGAACCGAGGGCTTTCTGGAATAAGAAAATTGAAGAAATTAATCTCTAATCGACCTGACGTCAGCCGATACGATTGTTTCGGATGAGAGAACTCGTCATCGCGGAAGTCTCTCGATGAGGTCGCTCAATGCGAGCCCACGATAGTACCGACCACGAATGGAACAGGGGTCGAATTCTGCAGACGCCTGGAAAACCTTTCGTCGGTGTCTGAACAACGAACACCTCTGTGGACGGAACTACTGACAAGTAAACATCGGAGCTCCGATCAGGACTTTCGTGTCATCGTTCATCTAGTCGAAAGGGGATGCTGAATCGAACGCTCGGAAAATCACGAAGGTCGCCGTGGCAGCCGGTGTCGCGACTTGAGCTGCAATCGCATTACGTTGCTCGATAGCTCAGCGCTTGCGGCGCAAGTGTTCCGTGACAGCACTGTTCGTTAAATGTTCTAAGTAGATGAGAGCTCTTGTTCTGAGAAAGTCGTCAACCTTCGGTCAGAAGAATCCACCAAATTCCAGTAGCTGTCAGGTCATTTGAGTCCAGTATCGCAGCTACTTGAAACGGTCAAGGCTCAGAAAGCTTCATCGACCATTGATGGATAAGGCTGTCCGATCCGTGCTGAGGTTCCTCGATACGATCATTTATTAAACGGAAGAAGCTAATCATGAAGATATGAATTACTGCCCAGCTGTGTGTTGTCTTGACCCACTTGCTGAAAGCGACAACGTTCATGATAATAATCGACGCATGTAAAAAGCGAGTGATAGAGTCATCGGATCCCATCGAGCGTTTGCAACAGTTGATCGGGTCCATTGCCGGAGATTGCAGGTGGACCCGACGGTCCGGAGTTTCAATTCTTAAGGATGATTCGAGCAAGTGCCGATTCTGAATGGAAAAATCCAGCTCTCCCACAGATAGATACTATTCGTGTCGCAGCGCAGCGCCATGAAAATGCTGATTGTGAGTGATTCTTACGCAGTATACCATTCATTCGATCGATTGAAGGCTTTCCCATACATTTCGCCGGTGTAGTTGGCCCGGTTCGGGATCGTGGGGATGATGGTGGTGCAACCAAATCGTAAGCAGACACTTGTATCGCTGACTTCGTGAGCTGCGCTTCGCTCAAAAGGATCAGCTCCGCTCTGCATCAGGCGATCGGATTCCTCTGACCAAGGTTGTACAGCTATGGAAGAACTGCTGCAGAAATTCTCAGTGTATTGCAATGGGTACCACTCGATCATCTACGTTCTCACGCGGAATATCGAGGCATCATATCGATCCGGAGGAACCGAGAATTCGCGCCGGGCGGGTCTCGTCCGAAATCATCCCTCTTTCCCACAAGGCGCTCGAAGTTCCGTTGCCCTGACACCTGTGGGGGATTCAGGGGCAAATGGGAAGGAGTGATTCCCCAACGATGAAGAAGGTGCGGTTCCAGGACCAGTCCGGTAGCTCCCAAGTTCTCGAAGCGTCGCTCGGAAGTGCGGTATGGCGGTGTATGTGTGAGTGTGTGAAAATCTTCGGTAATAAACACTAGAGGCCTTGGCGCTTCAGTGACGTGCTTGCGGTGAAGGCAACTCATTGTTGCCATCGGATGAGAGGTGATATTCGGGAAGGAAAGTAGACACAGAATAAGAAAGCAACACGGTGGAAAAATTCTCACAGCCCACAAAACAAAACCCCCGTATCCTTAACCTCTCCTTACGGGACACCAGAAGACTGCGCGCTGACGTCGTTCACCATCGGAGGTGGCTTCCCCTCGCGGCTGTTCAACTCACACAAGGGCAATCACCCGTTTTGTGAGCGAAAACTGTCGCTTTTTGTCTGATGTTTTCCGCGGTTTGTCTCGTCGGTTCGCTTACTTCAAACTTGTGGTTTCCGAATTCTATTCAGTGCTTGAAAGACCGGGGCAACTATTCACCGTCTTTCCGAAGCTCGAGTAATGCGATGTATTGCTTCCCGAAAGCAAATCGGAATCATGACTTTCGGGACATCGTTCCAGGGCTGGTTGAATAGCTCGCAGCCCCGTGGACTCCTTGACCGTTTCCCTTGCTCACTCCAGACGCCTTGAATCGATCAGACCAAGAGGCGCGCCATGAATTGGGAATTTCATAGACTAGATGTTCTTTTCGAAACCTCAGGTGGTGAACAGGATCGAAAATTATCTGCTGACGAAAGAAAATGTGTCAACGATCATGGAGACATTCTTTATCGTCTCCGAGGACTACTCGATCAGTTTGTGGGGCATCTTAATCAACGCGACCTTCGCGTTGTTCGAGATGTTTCGTAAGTTGCTTGACTTGCTCGCTACTTGGCTATTCCCAAAATATACGTGAACGTTAATTTCCTACGTCCTTGGACTGGTGTGGTGTTGCTGTAAACCGGGGTCGGTATCCGAACCACGGCGATTTCGCTTCTGGAAGACGCTGATTCAATGTACCACAGGGAGCGCGACCGAAAGAGCTGAGCTAATCGCGTTTCTATCGCTTGGCGGATTCGGGTCCGGTAGAAGCGCAATCACCGAGGGAAAGTCGCAGCTCACACCGGGAGCTGGACTCGGAACATTAAACACGCTATGTGACATATCACCGAAACGTGAGGATCCAGCCAGGTAGACTATTTGAAATATAATAGGTCATACACAAGAAAAAACATCTTTAGTGGCGGCGCCATCAGGAAACAATCGTTGAACTCAGCAAAGGGTCATTCCAATAAATCAGACCTTAACCTGGATACGGCCTCGAAAGTCTTCGTACAGCTCAATCGACCAACCGTGAAAATGTGGTTTTGTACACAACGAGCAGAGTCCTTGATCGTCCCTCAGTAGAATTAGAAAGATTTCTTGCCTTCCACAAAACCAGAGATCATAAAAAATTATCATAAAAATTGCATCTGCGAATCGCTACTGTTCTGAGTGAGTGTTCGCCGCTATCGCAAGTAATTTCCCCTGTCGAACATCTGGATGCCTTTCGACCGATTTCCTCGGTGTTGTGGCGATCGGGCAAAGCGCTTTTGCATGAAGCCTTCTACCGCGAGGGACGCGACGGAATACAAACGAGGAACGAGCTCGTTCCTCGAAGGATACGAAAGGGTGCGGATCTCGCGCAAGAGATCTTGTGCTGACTCGCACAGTCCGATTTCATCCGAATATCGGTATGTTCCATCAATCTGGTGGAAGAGTGAGCCCCAAGGTACGAGAGCCGGCATCTAGGTGGACCAGCGAGCCGACCCATACAACACGGTATTCAAACGCTGAGCCGAGAAAAAACTTTGCGGTCGACAGGGAGATCGAGAAGGGACGCATGCTTGACAACAAGCAACCAGATGACCGACGATAGTCCGACGTAGCAAGCAAGCGACCGACCACACGTAGCTTTCATATTGCCTAATAGACGTCACTAGCGCTCCGGCGAAAGCCCCTCAACGACTGGTGGCTGGCTGACCGACCGTTCGTCCGCCTATCCACTAGATAGCGCGCCACCCGCCCGACGACGGCCCGTCGGTCGGCCAAGGAGCCGGCGATTCTGACGTAACGGTCCGCAAGTCACAGCGGGCAAGCACGATCGGCAGCACTAAAATTTCTATTATACGATTACGGCAGCCGCGGGCACTTTCTCCCGCATTTTCGCCAGCATTGATTCCATTCGGGAGAACAAGAGCATTTCTGTGCCTGAACTGCTACCGAAACGGCATGTGGATAGCCCGCACCTGATACGGGCTGGGAGCGCTGATCGGGAAAGGTTTCCGCTTGGGAAACATCTCGACGGGACTCTGCGATTTTCCGATTTTCCGATTTTTCGATTTTGCTTTTGGGAAAGCCGTCGTTAGGTCGATTGCGATCGTCGCGAACGAAGCCCGTGCATCGCCTAGTTCCTCGGTGTTTCCGAATCGGAGCGTTCCTGCGCCGATTTTTCGCTTGACCGCGGATCGGCGGCCGCTCAGGGTTTCCGATGGACGGCGAAAGAATATCAGATATCAGAATTACAGCTTCAAGTATCCTGAGTACTCACCCGGTTTTCACGAAATCTCCGAGCGTTTTGACCAATTGCTTGGAGAATTTAATTTCCTCGTCCGTGAACTTGTGCTTCCTGAACCACTCGGGGGTATTGTTGTAACGGGGCTCGGCGAGATTGGCTTCATGCGTCAACATAGATCCGATCATGAACGGAAGATCCGTGGTGTGCACAACTCCCATCCAGTCGGGCCAGAGTTTCAGCGACGATTTATGAGTGTATTGATAACGGTACACCGAGCGCTTTCGTTTCGCCAAGAACTGTCCGAAGAGGTTCGTCGGGCACGTGAACACAGCGTCGCCGTACGTTTGTCCGATCAAATTATACGTCGTCTCTTCTGGATAGCTGTCGATCGAATTTTCGAAGTACTGGTCAAAGTTGTGATAGATCGCCCCCCAGGGCGCGTCGAACAATCTCGGATAGATCGACGACGGCACTATCTTGTACTGAGTTTTGGCAATATCGCCCTGAGCAAGCAGGTTCTGGAGCGGGTAGTTGATGAACATGGTGCCTTCGTCGGTGACAGTTCCCATGAAGACCTCGTCTCCGTTAAGAGCCTTGACTTCTTCAGGCATCAGGGGATGAACCGGAATGAAGTCATCGTTATAGATAGGCAGGAACATGTCGGCCAGATGTCCGAGATGTGAAACGCCCTCGATGATGGATTTGGCCTCGGCTTTTCGAATGCACTCCATGGTCTCGTTGTACTTGCTCTCCGAGTATATTCCATAGGAGCAGTTGGTGAGTCCAATCAAGGTGTGGAAGCGGGAGATTTCATTTTTCATCTGGAACGTTATCAGCGACAAGGCCGTTCCCGACTCGAAGACGACCCGCTTGAAGAGGCCCTTCGAGAGCGGCGAGTACATGTGGAGTCCGACGGAAAAAGCTCCGGAGCTCTGTCCGAAGAGCGTAATGGCTTCGGGGTCTCCTCCGAAAACTTCAACGTTCTGCTTGATCCACTTGAGCGCCATCAGCTGGTCGTAGAATCCTTCGTTGCCGGGCGCGTCGCTGTGATGGGTACTGAGAAAACCGAAAACTCCAACGCGATAGTTGAAAGACACAAACAGAACATCGTTCAACGCCGAGAAAGGAAGTCCGTCGTTGTAGAACAAACTCGAGTCACCGAATTGGAAAGCACCCCCGTAGATGTACACAATGACCGCTTTCTTAGCGGAGCCGCCGGCCGGCTTCCAGACGTTAATCGTCAAGCAATCCTCACTGGAGTCGGAGTAGTCCACGGATACGTTCTGGCCGTGGATGTACGTTGCTTGCACGCACGGTTTCGAGAAATCTTTCGTCGCCTTGAGCTCGGCCCATGCTTCCACCGGGACGGTTTTCCTGAACCGCAAGTCTCCGAGCGGCGGCTTCGCGTAGGGAATGCCGAGGTACGCCTCGACTTTCTTGCCCTCGAACTCAAGAACTTTTCCCTGGATCGGTCCCGTCGACGTCCGGAGCACCTCTGTATCCTCGGCAGAGACGCCTAAAAGGAGCGCCCCAGCAAGCACGGCACTTGTCAGACGCATTTCGATCACTGCGGCGAATAGCGGCTTGCGGGCTCAGACCCGCGTTTGCCCCTTCCTCGTTGACGGGGACTTCTCACAGCCGGCAATGAACAGACTGCCTGCCGGGGAGCCGACTTCAATGTCAACGGAAAGGGAAATCTTCTTCGCGCGCAAGTGGATAAAAGTGACTGACAACTCCAGCCCCCGATACGGTCGAGTCTTTCACCGACAAATATATTATACATAAATATAATTTGTATTCGAAAGGCGCGACTCGGTCATAACTCAACGCTCGAGTCATTCATTCTCAGTCGTGGGCTGGATCAAAGTTCCGCTGGAGGAGCGTCGATTCTGGAACAAGGGGAAAAGACCCGATGGATCAAGCTGATACTTCGAGGGAGAACTCATAAGCTGCAACACGAACCGACTGAAGAACGGTATTGCGCTAATAATCGCCAGCGGCTGATGTATTCGGAATTACGAGATAAGGGTCGATTGGGCAAGATGGAGATAAAAGTCCGCTAAACTGTCGGTGAATACGGAGCAGATACCTAATCGAATTGAGCGTAATGATTGTTCAGACAGTTGAAGAAGCCATGCCAAGCTTACCGGACCGAAATTCGCAGGAGGTGAGTTATCGGTCGAGGGAGTTCTGGGGTTTCCCCTGCGCGGAGGAGCCATCTTGAGCGGGACTCCGGACCTCCGGAAATACGAAGCCGTGGAACGACGCGAGGTTGTCATGGCATCTCCCGCTCCCTTCCTAGTGCGAGACCTCGGCTCCAGACTTCGGTCGACAATAGCTCGTGGAGTTTAGTATTTTGTGGCACTTGCCCGAGGGAACGGATTCGGACCCGCGACCCACCCGTACAACGTCAATGATGTCATTGGGACCTTCAGATCGTCCCCTAACTTGGATATCCCGAAGACGCAGACTTTCCGATGACAAGACCAGAGAGCGAGTAGTCACCAGCGATATGAGTCGATGGCGATTCAAGCGCAATTCTCGTTCAGGACGCCTCATTGCGCAAAATCTCCGAGGCCGTCTGACAGTCCTCTGTCGACCCAGTGTGCTCACGGTGCGTCGGATATCAGGGAAACTTCCCGCAGAAAATGTGAGCGACAGGGTACTAGCGGAGCAGCCTTCGCGACGTATGTCAAAGGGAGCTTGGAAGCGTTCGTGATCATGGGGGGAAGGAGATATTCCGATTCGTGAGCAGCTGCGAAGTTTGTCAACTAGCTGCTCAGTGATCATGACCGATCTGCTCCTCTAGCGGAATCGAGATTCTCCGAAAAAATCAGATGACTTCGCTCGCACCGAGGGCGCATCAAGCTGTCAACGTAGGCACTTCATCTGGACTGAGACCTACTTCTTCAGCCAACCCCAGGACCTGTGGACGGTGGGAAAATCTATCGGAAATTATATCAGGCTTGCTTATTCGCGAATTCCATGTGACTAATCTCAGACATGACGTAACCATGGATACCATTGGATAATGACTAGAATGAGGGGACGCGTAAGGATGTACTCGGCGAGAGAGCTGGCAGAGTCTTGCGGGAGTCTCCAGCCCGAAAAACCTCGATGAATCGTATGACAGAAGAGCGACACGGTGAGCTCTGCCGATAGAGGCGAAGCGCCTCTATGATAGTCGTCAGTCTCCCGTCCAATATTTCGAGAGGCTCGTGGCATTTCACCAGACGCGTGTTTTCCCCGGGCGAAGAAGTGGCTGAGGGGAAAAGGTCGACCGTAGCCTGTAGGGAGTAGGGAGAATATGATTGCGCCTCCAGCTGCGCTGACGTCACTCCTGCCGTGTTCTGTGGTTCCAAGATATCGGCAGGATAAGACACCGGAAGAGCCGATTCGGAGATTCCGCAGCTCCCATGTTATGACGATTTTCCGATAGGTTCAGGTCTCCGTTCATTCACAGCGCACTGCTGTTCTGATTCCATCCAGTATCCGATCCCTGGGATCTGAAATCGGAAAGCGCACTATTGAAATTCCCGGACCGCAACAGGAGAAGAGAAAAGCTGTGGCTGGGGAACGGAACTGAATCCGAGACACCAATGGACCCCGAGGATACGAGTTAGACTCCGATTCTCCCTTTCCCTGCTGGCATGCCCTCGACCTCTCCTTTCGCAGGAAGCTTCTGGTGCCCGATCCTTCTAATATCGGACCTAGATCTATTCCCATTCCGCCGCTCGGGTATTCCTCCGAAATCGACAACTGCGGGAGAGCTTTTTAGCGGTGCTACAGCAATCTTTTCGTGCGACACCCTGGTTGTCGTCGGAGTAGTCGACTCCGCGGTCAGCAAGTAGGCCTCTGCCCATGAGTCCACCTTGAGTCATGCTTTCGCAGCTCCTGATTTTCGTGATCGGCAGAGGGAAGAAGAAATGATATCCCGGTGGAGAAGCCGGAATTGAACGTTTCCCGAATCCAGAGAAGGGATGGGGGCCAGGTCACAATATTCTCGTTGTATTCGGGGTCCAGTCAGAGAGGCTTCGAGGATACATCTCGAGGTTGTTTCCAAATTCACTGACTGAGAGTAGCCCATGATTGATTCCATGGAGGTAGGTCGCGGCGCCGGTGCACTCAGAAAGCTCGCCATGAAAGGATCAGAGAGCACTCATGAGTGTGCTCCTGAGGGAAGTAGCGAGAAAAAGTAGATGGCTCAGAGCACATCCATCCACCCTTCAGGCATGAGACTCGAGTTGGGAGCCTCCGGAGCGGCCTTCGGCGGTCGACAAGGCCGAGTTTAAAACCATTCATTCGACTCCTACACGGTCGACCTAGTCGTTTTCCCGGTCCTGGTGCCGTCCTGCTTCCTTCTGCTTATAGCACTTTGCCGGGTTTTCCCCGAAGGGGAAAAAACAAATTCAGTCAGCAAATTCACTTTGCGATTCTGTTCTCGCGAACTGGATTTGCAGTGAAACCAGAGCTGCACGCAAGTTGACGGGGGAACATTCTATTATAGTTGAATCGAAGGAGTCGTCGATTCTCATTTGACGAGAGTCGTTGATTCTGAGGAAGCCGAGGTCCCAACCCTCCCCTTCCCCAATGCAACATGAAGGGAAATTTCTGTTTCCCCTCCAGGGGGGCTCTGTTCTCAAGTTGAGCCAACCAAGCGAGTTTTTGCGCTACTCGCAAAGTGATGCGTCGATCCGCCCGATTCGGCTGGGAACCGCTGGCACGGATCACAGTCATCATGACCATCGCATCTGTGGTGATGAGTATCTTCTTCTCGGGGTTGTAGCCCCTCGATTATCTGGAAGGGCGGCCTCGCGGAGTGGAGCTCATTCTCTCGACCTGTGCCCAGAGCACGATCTCGTCCACTCAACGACACGTTTTTCACCTCGTACTGGATGTTTTCCTGCCGTGCGGAGGGGCAGTATTCAGAAGCCGGTCGGGTTGCCATCCACTGGTGTTGCCGTCTGCGGGCTGCTACTGTCGGAAGAGCACCACTACAGCCAGTGTGGTAGATGAGCTCTTAAGTGTCTCAGTGCCGTGGAGAACGCATCGGAGAAGCCCTAGCTACTTATAAAAGCTGTTTTGTAATAAGGACGTCGAAACGTACGAAATCACAACAAGATGGCGACTCCTATGCCGCTTTGTCATTGATCAGCTGTGAATCGATGAAATACTGAACGCCGATGTTGACTGTGTTCCGCAATAATCAAGACCACATAGACTCAACGAGTCCGCGATTTTCGGAGATGCGCGGCAAAAGGCAGGCCGAGTGGTCTCCATCTCCCCACGAACGAGACCCCAACCCGAAAAACGCTCGTCTGGTAGAAGATTTCGACTCGACCGAGGATAGGGATACCGAGGAAACTACTACCGAAGATGCGGAAATATGTCTGAGGGACGCTCTGGAGAACTGCCGGCATTTTCTCGCTTTCCGAACGCCCCAGCGGGTCGGACGAGATTTCTTCGACGTGGGATGTGTGCAATTGGCTCGCAAGCTTTTAGGGAACCACTTGGTGCGCCGACTGAAAGACGGACGTATACTCCGGGCGAAAATCGTCGAGACCGAATCTTACTTAGGAGGCCAAGATAAGGCGAGTCACAGTTTCAACAACCGAAGGACAGAACGCAACGAGCCGATGTACATGGAACCGGGCACGGCGTATGTTTATCTCACCTACGGGATGTATTACTGTTTCAACATTTCCTCAAGAGGCGAAGGAGCTGCCGTACTTCTACGATCGGCGAAACCGCTTAGTGGAGTCGAGGATATCCGAGGACTTCGTGGCGTCAAACTAAAGGACGGGGGTAGGAAACTGCGTCTGGCACAATTACTCAACGGACCTTCGAAACTCTGTACGGGAATGGCTATCTGCAAAGATGCGATGAACAAGGAATTCGTTCCCAGCAGTGAATTGCTGTGGATCGAGTACAGTCAAGACGCTGCTCCTGCGGAGCACCACATCGTCACGTCGAGTCGTATCGGGGTCGAATCCGTACCAAGAGAATGGGCGTGTCAGCCTCTGCGATTTTATCTCTTGGAAGATGCGACCTTCGTTAGCGTGCGGGATCGAGCTGCCGAAAAGGCCTTGTGATATTTCCTCGGATCCCCGCCGGCATCGTCATAATCAATATCAATATCGATGATGAACGTGGAGATCTCCCTCTAGCGACACAGCAGCTGGAGCGTCGATGGTCGTCTCGACACCCCTACTCGCAGCTCCTCGAACAGGGTTCGGTACTTTTCTTCCCGGCGTACAACAATTGATACTGCTCGTTTACTCTTCAACGGTTCCTCTTTTGGCAACCTGCAAAAAGAACAAACTACTTCCGGCTCCACGATCTAGTCTGAATATCCAACAAAGCGAAGCAATTGTGATTTTGCCCCCGGGCACTCATGAGAATGTTGATATTTAGAGAGATATTTCTCTGCGGGGTCTCTACACAATATCACTAGCAATCCGAGACCTCGATACTTCAAGGTTAAGAAGACTATCTGACAATCCCTTATGCGAAGTCGAATACTGCTCTGTTAATTTTCTTCAATCGTATACCAACTAGCAGATCGACGGTGTCGCATGTCCACGGCAATACGGAGGTGGTCGTGATCCTTTGAGTCTGTAGAAAAGACAGTGCGTTCACAGGAGCAGCTCTCTACTGTAAATACAATTCAGACAAAGTATAGGAAAAAATGAATAAATATATTGCGTAAAAGCTCAAGTCTCGAAGTCAGATCTCCGTGTGGCGTCATTAAGCAAGGCGGCGGGGGCAAGCTTCTCGGCTTCCTCGATCTTCGCCGACTTGACAATAGCATGCAGAGCGTCCCGTCGACGGGAGCGTTTTGGGATCGCGGTGATCCCATGGAGTCTGCTTTGGAAGGGGTTCTGATACATGTACCTGCTGGCTGGTCCCGGAACGAGGGAAATCTCGATCGCGCCGAGCGCGAGCGGAAAATAATTTAGGATAGGAGGCAGTGAGTCAAGCAGTGTTGCCAGAGCACGTATTCTGCAGAGAATGGTCCGTGGCGACTGTGACAATAGCATAGCCTCGTTTCGGAGAGCTAGGCTGGCATGACTTGACGCAGGGACCGCCTGCCTAGGAACTCTCACGCGATGGAAAGCCTTCCAAAGCTGAAAAAAATAAAGTCTGGACCGAGGATCGATCGATGCAGGAGGTTCCCAGCAGGATGGCGGTAGTCTGCAAAGAAGTGCTTCTCGAAAGGAATGGTGCGTCCACGATGATATGCTCTCACATTCGATCTCTGCAACCGTCGCTGCCGACATTCGAGGTGATCTTTTTTTTCCAGGCTGTTCAATCCTTAAGGGCGTGAATATGTGCGTAGCACAGGGACAGATATATGGACTGTTGGGACCGTCTGGTTGTGGAAAAACCACGCTGCTGAAATGTTTACTGGGCGACCTAGTTGCTGACTCTGGCTCGGTGTCGATCATGGGCCTGAACCCGGGTCGGGAGGCTAATCGTAAAGTCGGGTGAGCTCTCCGCTGCCGCTTGATTGGGGGGAATATTTTGCTCGGGAACGAAATCACGCCTTTATCGGCTCAGGCCGCTCAAAGTGTAATCCTCAAGCACAGAGAACTCACTGTGTTTTTCCAGGTACATGCCTCAAGAAGACGCCCTCTGCGATCTGTTTTCGGTCCGTGAGACTCTATCATACTTTGGAAAGATCTACGGAATGCCTGAGTCCTGTATGCACGATCGCATGAGGTTCGTATGCAAACTGCTGGGCCTCAATGTACACGACAGGGTAAGTGGAGTTATTCGTCCAGATGAGCGGATTGACTCTCGGCAGTTAAACAAGCGGAGACTGCGGTGTCACAAAGTTTAGTTCCAGTGGCGTCTCCCGCAGCTAGTGATTGATATATCTGTCTTCATCAGGTCAGACACATGAGCGGAGGTCAGAGAAGGCGTCTCTCATTGGCTGTCTGTATTTTGCATTCGCCTCCGATACTCATACTCGATGAACCTACCGTGGGCGTCGATCCTCTTCTGAGCCACGATATCTGGAGGTATCTGAGAACTCTGACCGACGAATCCGGTGCTACAGTCATCATCACCACTCATTACATCGAAGAAGCATCCGGTGCAGACATGGTCCGTTGAACAGTGAGAATATCTGGGGCGATGTGAGAAAAATTATTGTCAACGAAATCGGAGAGTGGGCTTAGCCCACAGACTCCTCGAGCATCTGAAGAGTTCAGAGTATTTTCCTCTGCACTCCTTCCTGACGAGCTAGAGAAAATTCTCTCATAGTTGATATGGATGAATCTCGCCATCCTGAAGACAATCTCCTTGCGTATGCAGGTAGCACTCATGCGCAACGGAGATATCCTGATCGAGAAGAATCCAAAGAAGCTGATCGAAGACTACGCAGTAGCGACGCTCGAAGATGTACTATTAGAAGTATGTCGAAACCCGGAAGGGGTCGCAAAGCACGCAGCGCTCCGGAACTCGGACTCAATCTCACCACCGTCGAAACCCTGCCCCCAATCGTTGGTGGCGGAGAGTTGCGTTCTGATCGCTTCTATGAGACGTGTTCGCACGCTACTTTTCAAAGAGAGGTTCGGAATTGAACGGATGCCCTGATAAATAAGTTCATGTACATCTGGTTCGATGAAGCATGACACACGGAATCGTTGAATGGCATGTTTTCCTTGCAGATGCTCCTTCGCGCGACATCCGGGAACCATACTATACAAGTGCGTTTTCCCTCTGATAACCCTGAGTTTATTCTTCTACACCATGGAATGCGATCTGCCCGACCTGCCGGTGGCGGTCGTAGATGAGGATCAAACGTCTGGGTCATGGCTTCTCAGCGGACTCCTCGACACGCAGGACAACATCAATGTCGTTTACACGAACCGATCGGAGGCTGAACAGCGTCTGAGAGACATACGCGTATATGCAGTCCTCACACTGAATAAAAACTTCTCGAAAAGTTGGAATTCGACCGTCGAGATCGATCGAATCAACCCGTATTTCAGGTCGGAACTCAAAAAAAAATGAGAGGAAGAGAAAAAATATCGTCCGACGAAGGGATGATGAGTAATCTTTTTCTTTCAATATTCAGGACCGCTGTAGAGAGGGCAGTGCGGGAGACCTACATGAATCCCCTGGTCAGCACCATAAATTTCGCCCCTTTGCTGAGACCTAGATACATTTTCGGAGACATCGGAGATAACATGTACAAGAGCGTGTATCATCGGGTCGTTGCCCAACTCAGTTTCGGACCATCGATGTTAGCTTCAGTGACCCACGTTTTCGTCAGTGCCCATGATGACTTCATTCATCGGAGCAAAACGGCAGGTCGGATTTTTTCATTCACAGGGTTGGCTCTATTGCGGAAGCTCCCAAGAAACTGTGTGTTGACGGAATATAAGAGTCCACATCTTCCCCGAATGATTTTTTTTCCAGGGTGCCACACGTCAGAGCTAGTGTTGTCATTCTTCATTTCCCAGGGAGCTCTCGTGTTGATTCAGACTTTCCTGCTGGTGATTTATCTGTTTTTCAAAGTGGCCGTGAGCATAAGCTTCTTCTCTTGGCTCCTCGTCTACTCACTCCTCGTGGGCGTCGGTTTCTCCGGTGCGCAGGAAGTTTGCTATTATCGGGAACGTTCATCTCGAACTCATTCGAGCAATCATTGATCACCCGGAAATTCCCGATGTGAATAATATCCTCAACGTATTATACCGTTTCAGGAATATCGCTGTCACTCCTCGTATGCTCCGAATGCTCGGAGTTCACTTTGGCGCTGTACATGGCTCTGCTCCTGAACATGGTCACATTTGTTATGTGTGGCGAAATATGGCCCAGAGAAGGAATGCCGGAGTTCATGAGGGACTTCGTGGCCCCCCTCTGGCCGATAAGTTATCCCGCAGACGCCATGGGAGTTATTCTGTATCGCGATCGTTGGTTCGAAGACCGCCTCGTGCAACTAGGCGTCGGAACAATGGTCGCCTGGATACTGATTCCGATATTGATTTTGGTTCTCATCAGCTCTTTCCGGAAGAACGGCGTTTTCTAGGGAGATAATTCCTTGAGCTAAGTTTTGTAGAGGGAGCCGTCTTTTTCTCGGGATGGTTATATCGAGATGTGAATGATGCGTGGAGAGAGCTTCGGTGTAGCATGCGGCATCCGATACAGCAAAGACTCTGAACTGGTCCTTCCCGAAACCGAGGCTTCTTTATTAGAGATTCCTCTTTTTCGAGGATTCACTCTTACTCCTCTCCCCGTGCATTGGAGTACTCCCGGGCGTACTTCCCTCTCCCATTTTGCACTATCTCGTGATTTCCAACTCGACTTGACTTCAGTTTTCCTCTGACTTCCGGAATCGATGCCCTGTCTTTCTCGCCCCCGGGATCCGGGGGCATCCAGGTCTCTTAGCCTCATCAACGTGTACCGAAAATCACCATGAATCACAGAAGACGGAAGCCTTTTTCGTCAACTTAGGGGACTACGGAACTCCGCCTCCTTGATCCGACTCCCGTGACCTGTCCCTGAATCCATTCAAGCCGACCGGTCGCGTTTATCGCTCCCGGTGGCAGGAAACGGAAATCGCAGAATCGTCCGGCACCGCTCGATGTCATTGTGGGCTGCGTCATAGCACTCAAATAAAGCCTTCGGGAAAAGTGACAGCACGATACATACAAATTCACGGCTTGTGTTATACCTGATTAATACCGCTACCAGGACATCACTGTCCTCATAGACAACAATTAGCTCCTGGGTATCTACATGTATCCATTTAATTAGAAGAATCGCCAACAACAAGGTCAGAGGAGACCGTGCCGGCATCATCTCGTCGCGAAATATCTGTCACGGTGGTGGTAGGCTAACAGGCTGTCAGAGGTAATCTGTCGGATCTTGGTCTGCAGAGAGTTCGGCAGGAAGCTCGTATTCAGCTCATATTCGATGACAGCGTCCAAACAGAGCGTTTGCAAGGTGGGACTGAAGTCGAGAACGTGCAAATCGTCGTGGTCCGTCAGGAAATCCTTCAAGTCCTGCAAGCAATCAGTCTTCCGTCAGAAAAACCAGTCAATTGAGACTTACGATGATCTTGCACACTCCGTTAACCCTCCACATAGCTTCCAGTTTGCCAGGGGAGAGTCGATCACTCACTTCCGTAGATTTTTCGGACTTGAGATATGCAGCCCTCTCCAAATCGTTCATTGGTGACGTTCCTCCGAATATGAATAAACGGCTCCCCGCGATAATAGAAGCGTGTCGTCGCCGCGCTCGGGGCGGTCCTGTCCGTCCTACATTGATGGGGAATTCGCGCCAGACTTCGGTTTCTATTAAACGAGAGGGAGTTTTAGACTTCTCCGGGCTCATCGGTTCGCGGATGAGGGCATCGATCCGATCCGGATCCGGGAATGCTCTCGTGATGATTATCAGACTTACTGGGATTAAAGCAGTACATGTTCCCGTAATGCAGCTTCTTGTTGCTTTCGTAGCCGCCGAAGATGTACAGTTCTCCATTGTATACGAAAGCAGAATGACTGCGTCTTCCCGGAGGAATGTCACCACGCTTTTCAGGATAGCACCAACGGAGAGTTTCGGTGTCAAAGTACGCGAGACGATTGCAGTAGATTTCGACATCCGTATGGAAAGGCCCATCAAGATCTCCTCGGCCGCCGAATATGTACATACGAGTGCCGATCGCGCAGGCAGAGTGGAAGTCGCGATGCGATAGAGGCGTGCCTTTGTACTCGACAAAAGACCAAGTGAAAGTATTCAGATCAAGCGCGAAGATGTCGTTGGAGAAACAATTATCGATTTCTTCGAAGCCGCCGAACACGTAAATCGATGAGCCAATGAGGCACGCTGTATGACCGTCCCGCGGGCCTGGAATGCATCCCGTCGTCGGGATGAGGCTCCACTGGTAGGTGGCTGAAAGGAAAGATTGATGCTTTTATTTCACGCCATACCACGAGATTCCAGCTGAAGCCAGGAGATAGATTGATCGACGCATGAAAATCACATTATGGATGGAAGGAAAAGGGGGCTCAACTCACTTGTGTCGAATCTGTAGAGCTTGTTGCAGGCGCCTTTATCGTTCCGCCCTCCAAATAGATAGACTTGATTGCCGTGGGCGACAACCGCATGGCCATACCTTCATCGAACGGAGAAATTAATTTCGAGACAAAGCTGTGCGAATGTGTTCTCCTCCACACCTCATACTTCGTGACGAACTCTGAAGCTGTCACTGATACCGGTCATTGACAAGACACTCACCTCATAAAAGGCACATTTTTCGAGAGTTCGGCCGGTGACTCGACACTTTGCCACTGTAGAGTTTGCGTGTTCAATTTGAAAACGTCGATTGGCTCCGCGGAGAAGTAGTTCCCGCCGGTACAAAACCCACCGAATACGAATATAGTATCACCGACTAGTACAGCTGAGTGATTCACGCGTTTCGGACCGCCTCTTATGTGTGCGATCCATTTGTAACCCGCTCGTTGCAGCTGTAAATCGAAAGTATCTGTCAGTCTGAACGCCAAGGATGTCCAAGAAGTAGTACCTGGAAAGCTCAATATTTCAGATCAGCTTGCGATCCTGGCATAGAATGATATGAGTGCTACATTCCGCGATCCCGAGGGCTTTCCCTGGGATGTGCCACATTCGACTTCTTATCTAGAAGATAGGGCTTCGATTCGATCATTGATACTCAATAAGAGATCTCTAATCTTATTGTGAGATTTTGATCGATTCGCTTCGAGCGGACATCAGTGGAAAAAATACCCGAGATTGTTGGATTATCATTGACCCTTGTGATCGGTCGGAGACGGAGATCTCTGAGGCGATTCAGAGGAGATCACAAATTCCCGTAGGGTCAGGCACGGACGCCAATTCGAGAATATAAGGGCATGCCCAGGCATACTCGGTCCTACGGGGTCCCTCATTCTTAGTTTCAGAATCATATTCCCCGATCCCCTTCGCCTCTCCTGCTTCCGTCTCGGATGCAGGGGTGCACGAGTGGCGAATATGACCTCCAAGCCTGGAAGTATATTTGAACCTCCAGGAGGAACACATATGTGGAAGTGACACAGGTATCGCTTATTCTCGAGCTGCTTGACACGTTCTACTTCCCTTAGTTTTCAACACGGACGCTGGCCGGAGGTGCACTTTGAACTCCTGATAATTTATTTTGTTCCCGTTGCGACCACTTGATTCACACCTTCAGAGGAACGACTCCTAGGCCTTGATTCCAAAAGGTTGCGGGAGACCCCACTGAGGTGATAAGTCATGAATTATGACTCTTGATGAATGTCCGATATCGACATGGAGATGTCTCGGAGACTGACGATGAGAGACCCCGACGGTGACGTCAAGACATGGGGTTATCGAAACATTCTGAATGCCCTTGTGGCTCCAGAGCAGTATCTCTATCGAATGCTCATATGTTTGAGTCACGATTAGGCTTCACAGGGAACCGTATCAATTCGCGCTCTCAGCCTCACTTGAGACGTCTGGAGGAAACCACATGCGACCGCCGCGCTCGGGCTAAGCGATTCTCCGGAAGATTCGCGTTTTCTCGCGGAGCCCGGTCACGATTCACGGTGCTCTCGAGAGCTCGTCGATGGCTTCCGCCATGCCTCCGAAGGAACTCCCGGAATTTTCTAGAATCATCTATGAGTAGTTCCGAATAACGGACGAATATCCCATCAGTTGGCCTGAAAGAGCTCGGGCTACAAGATCGGAATGGGGACTGACGGCGGAAACATCGAAAAACCCACGATAGAGATAATGCCCTCCCGAATGCACTTCGCTACGGATACCGATACCGATGATGAATGGATGACGCTCAATGTCAACACAACGAATCGAAAGTTGCTTCGCCTGCAGAGCTTCCCGGCCGGGCGATTCGAGACAAAATTTATCTATCTCATCTTTATTCTATCTCTCAAGATAGGAGCGATCCATGGAAATAGCGCTTGAGTTACTTTTTGGCGAAATCGTTATAGCCACATGGATCGACTCACTCAGACAACGAAGCGGTGCCATCTGCACATGCGCGGTTAAGAGAATATGACCCGGAGGTCTCTCGTCTCTCCTTCGCAAACGCTTCGTGTTCCGTTTCCACAGCTTCGAATGGAAATATCATTTTTTCTTGAGAGAAGCAAATGGATTCGAGCACTTTTGCCATGGATCGCT